AAGCCTTGAGCTACTCAAACACCATCAGTGATATGGGGAAGAGAGGCCGTACTGTGGACCTTTTTTTATTTTGGTATTTAGGGTTTTTTAGGGTCAGAGACTGAGTCAGACTCAGTCATCAGTGAATTCATTCATTCATGCATCAAAGCCTGCAACTCTCTGCGCACAGCACTGTGATACTGTGCACATACATATTCAGAAAAAAACACTGTCTACAGAATGTCAAAATAATAATTGTATCATCATTACACTATCATTCATTTCGTTCATTCTTTCTTTTTACACGTGTCAACATCAAGTTGGGTTGATGGAGACCACTGGAGAGGCTGCCAGCCATCGGATTCATTGGGGAATTGACCCTTCTTTGACGTTTTTCTCGAAAAATCATTTTTTTCATTTAATATTCCTAATCAGGCATCGTTCCGATTATATTTCTCGATCTAACACCCTTTACAGGAAAGCGCGTCCCCTGAACCGCATTTTACGCCACGGGGCGCGCGCCTTACCAAATATGTAAAAAACCCGGATGCTAGTTTTGTAAATATTTTAAACGGTTTTCAAATAAGTAATTAATTTCTATTATGGTGACATTTGTGTAAAAACGTCAGCATTTTTAATTATGCACAGCTCACACAACACGGTTTCAAGTTTTGGGGTTTTAATATGTGTAGTGGTTGAGTTTATTAGTATTTTAGTGTCATAAGTTTATTTTTTATAATAATAAATATTTTATAATTTTAAAAATTATAAATTTCATTTATTTTTAAAAAAAATTATTGTCTTTTAAAATTAATTGTTTAAAAATATAAAAATATTAAAATAAATTTTTAATTATAATTGAGGGATCAAATTAATTTTTATTTTTTAACAACAGTTAATAATGTTTATTCATTTTTAATAAAATTATTTAAATTTTTGCATTAAAATTACACAATATGTATAGTCTAGTATATAAAAACTTTGAGGGTAAGTATTTTAAAATATGAATAATTTTATAAAAAATTTATAACTAGTATTTCTTTTACAAAATGATGATGATGATAAATATTTTATAATTTAAAAAATTATAAATTTCATATATTTTTGAAAAAATTATTGACTTTAAAAATTGATTGTTTAAAAATATAAAAAAATATAACTAAAGGTTCAAATGAATTATTATTCAATATTTTTTTTCAAAAATATATGAATTTTATAATTTTTTAAATTATAAAATATGTATTATTATAAAAAAAAAACTTGTTACACACTAAAATACTAATAAACTCAACCACTACACACACTGCCCACTTCATTAACTTGTGACAAGACCCCAACCAGTTCACCTGGAACCATGCGGTGTGGGGTGTCTGCACAATTAAAATGCTGACGTTTTTACACAAATGTCATCATAATAGAAATTAATGACGTATTTGACTCCCGTTTAAAAATATTTACAAAACTAGCACCCGGGTTTTTTACACATTTGGTAAGGCGCGCTCCCGGGGGCGCGCCTTCTACCACGTGGCATAAAACGCGGTTCAGGGGGCGCCTTCCTGCAAAGGGTGTTAGATAAAAAAATATAGTCTGAACGGTGTGTGACAAGGAAATATATAGGGTTAGGGTGATATTTCGGGAGAAACACCGTTTTTTTGTTATGCCTGCTATCAATCTACTTCTTTATCTGTGAAAATCTTTTTCAATTTGTCAAAACCTAACACTGCACATTGAATAATCTATATCTATACTTATCATTAATGGCCGAGTTTGGTCTTACATTAAAATGATGCTATAATCAGTACGCATTTTATCTTTTTCATACAATTTAAAACAAAAACTAAAACTAAATAGTACAAAATTATTGACATATTTGTAACACACGTTATATATGAAAAAGAAGAAGCAGATATACAATTTTTATACTGTTAGGTACGATGCAAAAGCATATAGGTCCACCAACAACTTTATGTGTTGGATTTTAAAAAAAAAATGAAGCATTAAATAATTTTGACTTTTTATTGGCTTCCTCTCAATATAGTCATCTACCATATTATTTTATGAACTAGGGTTTTTTATGAAAGACGCCGTGCACTCATATGGTCTTCTCAATTTGCCTGAAGACGTCATGTAGTCGTGAAGTCTTCTTCATTTACCTGAAGACGCCATACAGTCATGGAGTATTCATATTTAACTCGAAGACGCGTGAAGTACCTAGCGTCTTTAGTTTGGTACTGTTCAACTAACCCTAGATGGGAAAATAATCTCCGGACATACTTATTAAGAATTAAAAAATCTCGCTTACATTATCTTACCCAATTCTCCCTTTTTTTCGATGACAGCAAAGACATAGCTTTATGTAGTTTCTCCAACCCTGCCCAAAGAAAAATGGCTGTATATTATCTTTGCTTTTTTATTCCACAGAAACTCAGACGCCAGTCTTTGCATTTTGGTGAAACCCTGTTTTTCCAGTGTTGTATGCCCATTTCCACCCATTAATTCAATCTCAAAGCTTTAGCTTTTCCATTAATGGTGTAATTTAAGCAAGCAAACTTGAGATTTATTTTACATCTGTTGATAGGAGGCCTCCCAACCTCTCCAACATTAGATTGTCGCTTTGAGCTCATTCACTCTTTATTTAATTTTCCGTAAAAGAATGGTCACAGTCTATTTCTGACATGCTAATCCGAGTTTGGACAGTTATAATCTCTGACATGCTAATCCGAGTTTAAATTCTCGTAACAAGACAACGGATAATAAGGCGGGAATCTCGCGAGAGCTAATCGCATAATTCTTCTGTTATAGAACAAAACAGAAGGCATATGGTAAATAATAAAACAGCTTTGATGGATATAAGGAATAATAAATAAATAAAAGTAGCAGTAATTATTTTTTGTTTTATTGGTTCCCACGTGTCATTAACGTGGACCCACAAGGCACAAGTGAAGGGGATATGGTCAAAGACATAGGGTCGTGTCAGATCCAATAGCAAGAAGAGAGAAGGGGGGTTGCGAGAATTAAGGCAAAAGAAATGATTTTGCAATCCATTGCTTTATGATTGACGCTGACAGCGCTGCAACGTAGCAGCAGCTGCAACAAAGTAAAAAAATAAATTAATTAAAGGGGCAGAGTGAAAAGCTCTGTCGTTTCGTTGGAGTAATACTAAAACAACGGGCAACACGGGCAGTGTGATGGCGACCATACGGGCCTTTGCCCTTCTAAAGGGCAGTCGTGTCTTTATCTGCCCGGCACTTAATATGGGCTCTTATGTACAAATATAGAATAATTACAATCTACAGCCTTATCTGTCTTGCCATCTAAAAGCTTGTTCCTTTGTACCCATGTCTAGATGAATCAAGTTTTTTTATGAATAATCTCGGGTCATTATAATATGTTATTTGTTTTAAAAAAAATTAAATATCGATAACACATATATCTTGTGAATCTCACAAATGTTCGTACTCGAAATCTCTAAAAAAATAATATAATCATTTTTATAATTGAGATCGCTTAATGTACCCTAGTTGCATGGACTCGAATGTCTTTTAACATGGTTTTGATTTTCTAGTTTTATGGTTTTAGAAATTAAAATTATTGTACCTACACTGTAATTTTATAATTTCCAAACCGGTTAAAGAAAATTTATACTATTTGATATCTCTCCTCCATTGAATGAGAGAGAACTTTACTTTCCCCGGTTCAAGATATAGGGATGAATAGTGAGGAGTGCAAGGGCTTATATTAGGGACAAATGCATCCAAATAGTTAGTAATATAACTTTATAAGTTCACATCTTCGATATAAAATTTTGGTCATTCTTGTCCATATAGATGCATGCAAACAAGATCTTAAACATATATAAACAAAACAAGCCTTTTTTTTGTAATGGGGACCAACATTAGTTATGTGCATTAAACTCTTAATTAAGGCTTTGATTTGTTCTTTAATTCATTATGCATGTATCTTCCCAAGCTTCTTTGAGTGTATAATTTTATATCTGACACCAAAAGAATATTCCAAAGGAAAAGGTGTATATGTACACATAGGCCAAAGTCAAAAGGCATAGAGAAAAAGACAGTATTAAGTTGTATTATTGTGGAATAATGATACATGTTCATATATGCCATCTTTCAACAACATTTTGTATGATGAGATACCCAAACTTTTAATAAGGAGAAATAAGAGTAAAGTTGGGAATTTTAATAGGAATTGAATGAAGGGATGATGAATTAAATAGATGTGTTGTCAGAAGATATGGGGTATGCTTTAATTGAGAAGATAAGGGTATGGGGTAGATGTCAGGAGCATTCAAAGCAAGATGACGTGACAAATAAATTCCATATTCATTGTAATGTGATCATGTTTTCCATGCATATCATGCATGTGAATGAATGGTAATTGATATTTGCATATCTTGCACTTTAAACCATCATGTATTGGCCACATCATAATGGTCTTTAAGATCACAGTGACATTATAATCACATCTGCAATTTAGAAATAGAAATATAATATTTTTTGAAAAACAAATCATGGTATAATGTCTGTAACATTTATAATTGTATCTGCAATATAAACACCACAATGGTAATTTAGTAGTATGATCAGAAGTATATATGTGGAAGTACTTGTAAGATTCTCTTATTAAAAAACAAACTTTGAAGTTGTGCTAATTAAGCGATTTCAAAGGTCAAGGGATCGTTGTTATCCCTTGAGGTTTTGAGTTAAAGCACGATGTCTCCAAGTATGTATAACATTCATTGTTAAATAACTGAAAGTATTTCGAACAAATACTACTTTTTATTCATCTCAAACTAATAAAAAACAAACTTTGGTAAGAAACTAATCCCAATTGAAGTCTTGAACAAGTTATGCATTGGCCCACTTCTTACCTCAAAGACTTAAAGTCCATAAACATTCAAGACCTGTTGTAGTAGGCCTAGCCGACTTCAATCTGTTGGGTTTAGCCCATTATTTAAAATGGAGGAGTGTCCGAATTCTTATCCATTCTGCCTTTTTCCTTTACCCAGATGAGCAGATGAAGTAAGCAATGGCTGGTGCAATTGCGAGCGCCGGTGCCGTGCTCTGTTTGTCATCGCAGAAGCCGTTCAAACCCCTTCATTTCTCTACAAAAACAAACACTTTTCACTTCTCGAAACCCGAAGTTTCTGCCTTTCCCCGCTACTCTGCGAGAGTGAGACCCGTCATCAGTCCCTGCAACTGTTTCTCCTCCAACACAACCCATTATGAGGTAAAGAAGGAAAGAAAAAAGAGAACTTTTTGTTTCTATGCATGTTTCAATGTACTATCCTTGTTGTCTCTTTCTTCCTTGTTTTTTTTCTGAGCTAGATACACCATGCCGATTAGTTCAACTTCAATTAGGCTTGAAATTTGAATCTAAACGAATCACACCTAGTTGCAATTTGGGTCACAGGAGAAGCAGATTCTTTTGTTGAATTCATGAATTTGAGAATGTTTTCCTTTGATTTCCGGTGATTTTTTTCCATGGAATATGCTGCAGTTCTCTGATGGGTCTTCTGAAGTGGAATTAAGGTTGCAACTTGGTGGCCAAGATGATGTAAGTGCCAAAGATATACTTGTGGATGCGGATGGTACTTCTCTAATTGTTAAAGTCCGGCAAGCCGGGTCCTTCGCCACACTTATCGATACTAATAGTCTGTTTGAGAAAATAAAGCCTGCTGAAACAATATGGTTAGTGGCACTGAGTACGAATGAACTTTATTATTTATAAGATCACTACACATTCTGATTTTCTGTCTTGTTTTAAACAGGTATATAGATGATGATCAACTTGTTATTAGCTTGAAGAAGCAGGATCCGGATCTGAAATGGCCGGATATTAAGGAATCATGGGAGTCATTGTCGGCTGGTTCTATGCAACTCCTTAAAGGAACATCAATCTACATTGTTGGGGATTCCACTGAAATTAACCAAAAAGTGGCCCGAGAACTCGCTGTTGCTCTTGGGTATATGCTCCGCGTTCCACCTGTCCTGTTACATAACTGTTGCATCTTCTTTAAAGTGGACCTCAGTCCTTTTCTTGCATGTCTTCCTAATTTCAGTCGATGAAAAGGAAAACAATCCTTAAGTTCATAACCTCCGGTGACATAGTTATACTCTAGGTTAAATCATTAAAAGCAATAGCTACGTTTACTGTATCTTGATTTGCTTATATAGATGATTACAAACCAACATTTGTTTCATGTGATTTCAGGTACACACCACTAGTTACGAAAGAATTGTTAGAAACTTTTACCAAGCAAACTGTTGATTCATGTGAGTACATCCTTCCACTAAATGTTCATGGATACATACATGATACAGACTAGACTCCAGTTCCCTCTCGCATGCACGGGTACAGACATGATACATGTTCATGGATGTGGGATATGTTTGCCTTTCTTCTCTGTCTTTCCGTGTATGTATGTAGTACTAAAAGTTGATATATCTTACTTCAATAAACGCCACAAGCCTAAAACTATGCCACCCATATCTACATCTATATCTCCATGTAATCTATTATGTTTGGGTTGAATGTAATCTATGTACCATTAAATCTAGGGGTGAGCGTTCAATCGAATCAAATCGAGTAAAAAAATTTTGAGTTATTCGAGTTGACGAGTCCTATTTTATAACTAGAAGTTGACTTGAAATTTTTTGAGTCCAGTTAAGTTGAATTTTCGAGTTTCTGTTTAAATTTAATTGTAAATATTTATAATATTATGATATTATTTAATTCCATTTTAAATGTTTTTGTTATAACCAAATACAATACATATATTTTTCTTCAATTTTTTTCCACATGTGATATACATATATCATACAGAGTCGAGGTACTCGACTTAAACTTGAAAATCAATAAACTAATTACTAAAAATTTCGAGTTATTCAAGTTACTATTCGAGTTGTATATTATAACTCGATTTGAACTTGAAATTTTTTCGAGTCGAGTTTTGCTCACCCATAATTAAATCACCGATGAGAAAGGTAGTTGCCATTCTTAAGCTTCTCTTGTACTTCAGAGTGCAAATTTTTGCAAACCTTTTTCCGCAAATGGACTACTTCGTAGTTCATATAAAATCGTGTTAGCCACTATTCATTATAGGCTTCTTTGTTAAATACTCCTTTTTAAGTTGTACTTTGCAAGGGAAGAAAGTGATTTACTATTCATTATCTGCATCATATTTTCTTGATGTTAAATGACTTCAAGAGCCAGTTTTCTTCGAACTCAGGTTGCTATTTCTTAAGCAGCTTGCATATACTATTGCAGGGGTGCTTACCGAAGGCTCCGACTCTGTGGCTGAAGCAGAAAGTGCAATATTGGAAAGCTTAAGTAGGTAAGGACTATGTTTTCATTTCCTTTTTTTTTTGGTCATTAAGTACATTATAATAAGGGCATCACTTTACTTGTTCTGGCAGTCATGTTCGGACTGTCGTTGCAACCTTAGGAGGGTCTCACGGGGCTGCTGGAAGGACTGCAAAATGGAGGCATCTTTACTCAGGGTTTAGCATTTGGTTGTCACAGACTGAAGCTTTAGGTAATTTTGCATTCGCCTTTTCAGTTTAGTCATCTAGTCATCAAACAATTGAGGTACATACTTACATTGTATAAGCTTTGGTTATGATGTATCTCATTTTAGCTGGTGTGCTAGTTTTCTGTAAAAAGGCCCCTAATACTTGTGGTACCCTGGGAATGTTCCATGGGTTTGGAATCTTGAAGTCAAGGGGGATAACAAGTAGCAAGTAGAATGATTTTGTATAACTTGTGAAGTCTCGGTGCAGATGAGGATTCGGCACAGGAGGAAGCGAGAAGGCACATTGAAGATGGTAGTGTTGGGTACTCCAATGCCGATGTGGTTGTGAAGCTTCAGGGTTGGGATGCTGACCATGCCAAAAGCGTAGCTCAGGCATCCTTAAGTGCCCTCAAACGGTTAATTCTATCAGACAAGAAACTGCCTGGTATATACCTAGGTCCATCCATCCATCAAATGATAGTTGCTACATGTGTGTCATCAGTAAAAAAACAATTGTTATTTTTGTTATTGAATTGAAGGTAAGAAGAGCCTTTATATAAGGTTAGGATGTCGTGGAGATTGGCCAAACATCAAGCCACCTGGATGGGATCCATCAACTGCCACTGATGCTCCACCACCTGCTACATTGCCCAATTGATTATTTTTCTACACACAAATATGGTTGTTAGTAATTTTACTGCTTCATTTCCTTCAGTTTTTCCCCTTAGTCGATCTATATAGAGTTGTAAAGCATTACATTACCAATGGAACCGCTACTGCCACATGAGCACATTGTATCAAATTTAGTGCTGCTGAATTATACGAATTACATATAGTATCAAATAATCAACTTTAATGCTGCGGAAGAAAACGAGTTACAGAGTCAATGGAATTATACACTAGAGCCTGATTTGAAGAAAACAACATTCTCCACGGAACTTTATGTGTATGATCCGACCATGCATGCCTGATCTATAAGTATATTTTTCTTGTACTTGGTCACTCGTCAATGTTAAAAATCAAATTGATATGGTTGATATAGATCATTTCAGGTCAAATTTTAATATTTTTTATCGGTTCGAGTCAATTTCAAATTCAGGTCGTTCCAATTTGATAATCAAACTGGCCATTATAGGTTAAAAATGTACTTCCAGATGATTACATATACTAAAAGGTCCGACATGGTCTCAGATTCAAATCATTATGGGATCAAAAATGTACTCTCAAATCATAACGTGCAATGAACCATGGATTCAGATCATACTTATAGATCAAATTGATTTCAACTCGGTCAGGATCATGTCCGTTCACGAAAACTTCGGATTCATCATCTCAGTTGTAGTCGATTTCAATTTAAGGTCATTGTAGTTTAAATACTCTCAAGTTTTGTACTTCAGGTCTAAGTTTTGATGTTTGGTGGCTTCAGGTTCAAGTCATTTCCAGGTTCACTTATAAGTAGAATGGCCTGAGCTTGGTTTAAAGTAGCAATTCTCGAATTTTGAACCAACTCAATCTCCATCTATATTATCATCACATCTCCGATCTAAAACGTGAACAGTTTCCTTGGTAGACCGGAAGATTTAGTCTCAAGTCCATGGCAACAATTATTTGTAGTATGATAACAATGCAACTCGTCCACATCGAAAGCAACCAAAAAAACACTACAGGGGAGGGGCTAAACGCCACTTAAGCATGAGACAAAAATAAGTCTTCATATTTAGTTTTATGCAAGCCAATCCTCACTACCGGAGCCACCTAGCAATTACGCCATTAGAACAAAATGCAAATCTAAGCCTGAAATTACCTTAATCAAATCAAGTCGACACATTATGTAACAACCACCGAACTGAACAACTCCAAGATCACCAAAACTCAAAGGCTGCCAGGACTCTTCATGTTCTGCCTTGCCAACTCCTCCAAAGCTTGCCTGTTTGGTACCTGCATATCCCCAGAAAACTACATTAATTTTTCATTCTCAAGCTAATAACTCACTCCGTAAAGTTTAAACCTTACCTTGCATTGCAGAGCTGTTATTGTTGATCTCAACAAACTATCTCCAACTATCAATCTTAACTTTTTGACAAAATCATCACGCGTTATCTTCTTTGCCTGACAAAAGAATCCCAAAAAAAAAAACAATGCAAAAGAATCAGAAACCTTATCTTAAAGCATAGGAAACTAACAATAAAATACGTTATTCAACATACCCTGAATTGCTCATAATGATCACTAACTTGTTCCATATCAGTGCGAGGAATTTTGTTCGAGACAGCAGCAAACAACATTGGGAAAGGCATCCAAGGGGATTTAGGAGTCTTTGAAGTGCTTGAACCAAGGCAAGGATTATTTTCTTGGAACCCGCCTGATTCTGAGTTTTGGCGATTAGTAATCCCCTGCTGACAAAATAATATCACAGTGAACATAACTTAAAGTCAATATATATAGTATTATCAAAGGTCCAAACCCACGTATTCAACCAGCAATCATCATTAGCACAGAGGTGGTGTGAGTTGCTGTATGATAAAACATAGGTGCAAGGACAGCCTTGATGCAAAGACTGATAAATGACCCAGCTTCGAAAGACTGCTTGCAGACCAGAGCATTCAGGCACCAGCGTGGGTCCACCAGAGAGTACAATCAGGTCTTAATTATCCTACTTAGGGAAGCATAGCACAGATAAATTACTCACCAATTCACCAGCAGATGACAACACTGGTAAACAACCCTGAAGTCCATACACAGATGCAGTGACGCCTGAAACAGCATGATTAGTCTCACTTCCAATCAAATGCCCTGTGGAAACAACATAAACCTCAAGAGCTAAAGAACTTGAAACATTTCAGAGAAGGAAATATATGAAAGCCATACAGAATTTGCAGTAAGACACAGCCAACTAATGACCATTGGAGTGAACTGTGATCTCTGGAATGAAAAAAGTAAAAGCTCCACCAATAGGAGATATCAACACATCATGGAAGAAGCCTCGATTGTTATATTAACAAACTTAAACTTTTTCCATCCAAGTTTGAAATGGAGATTGAACAGTTGAACCATCAAAATTTAATCGCCATGTTCCATGAGTTGCGTAGAGTTCCCAATTTGATGTTAGATGAAATAAAGGAAGAATGAATATATTCATCAAAGAAACAGCATTCTAAAGGAGAAATATATCACCTTCAGCATTGGATAGTTTGAAACTAACAAAAAACTCTGGATAAATGTGAGTGCTGATATTCATGTTCCAGATAATATAGAACTTAGGATCCTGAAGATCATCCACTCCGCTATCAACATCCTCATTGCTTGGAAAACGTTGTGCACTTCCAGGGCGAACAAGCTCTATCTTTCCCAGTAATACACGACATAATACCATGTACTTTATTCCATTTTCGTCAACATCACAATAGTTTGCACTGAACAGATGAAAGATAAACTTCAATCCACAAATCACCAGGGTATGAAAAAATAGCTTGAAAAAAGTATACAAGATAAAACAGTAAAGTAGCAAAAATTCATCTGGTTGTGAATCTAAAGCAAGTGGGCATTCAGCACCTAAAATGTTTAAGAGATCAAATATAAAAAAACAGCATAACTATCTTCATAGCAGCAAGACGTATAAGTTCAAAATGAACCCAATAAGAATCACTCACAAAAGTTTAACATAGCATTTTCTCTCAATTTCAGTAGAGCTGAATCCATGAAATCATAAATGTGGAAGATGATAATGCTCCCTTTCAGGAGACTTAAAACAAAAAGTAGAAGAACAATACAAAAAGGAGAGTTCGAAAGTCCTTGAGCAATTTAAAGGACAATGATAGAAGCCTATGATTGATTTCTTCCAAGAAAATTAAAACAATAGAAGATTTGCATATTCAAAGAAATTATAACAAGAAAGAAAAAATAGAAACAAAAAAGAACCCCAACCAGATATTAGTAACTTCTGATGCAGCAAGATGAACACCAGAGCCATATATCAGCGGAATCGTGGAAAGACCACAATCCGCAAGCCCATGCATCCTAATGCTAGGTAATGCTGCCTTAGAGCAAGCAAGCCAGGCATATTTAACATTCACATTCCCTCGGTACTTCTTCATAATCTCTATCTGCTTCTGGAAGCGCTCTAACCTATACTTCGATGAAGTACTGGAGCAGGGTTTTACGTCAATAATATCCACACCACCGGATGGGCTCATACCCTTAAGAAACATCATTTCAACAGTTGAAGAATCCAACTGTTCATTCAACTCTATATCCAGAAACTCCTTTTCAGGGACCAAGTTTAACCTTGCTTGTTGAATAACCTCAACAATTTTGCTGTGTTTTGCATCAGCATCCTTGCTCCAATTATCCTCAACTTCTACAGCATAATTGGATGCAGGTTTCTGAGCAATTTGAACATTTCTAACAAATGAACTTGACTCACCACTACATTCCTCCAACTTTGATTGATCAACACCATTAATGTCAATTTCAAGATGTAGCTTGATCTCAGGGGGGGCATATGATCCAGTGAACATGGATTCATGATCATTCTCAAGTTCATGTCCACAGTCGTGATATGGATCATCCTCTATAGCAAAAGTTTCCGGGAAGAAACAGCCATCTGCCTCATCAATCCAAGCAATTGGTTGTTTCAAGCCAGTTTTCTGATCCAATCGGAACATATGCAGGAAATCTAGCACAAAAGATTGGCCATCTTTCTCCAGCTCAATAAATGGCTTCTTTGTTTGGAGTTCTTTCCTAATTGAAGCAATGAGATCCTGGGGGAAATCAGTCCATTCACCTTTCTCAAAGAACATTATATGCCTTGGAATGCCTGTTTTCTTAAAATTTTTATAGCAAAGCAGTAAAGATCTTTTCAAAGGATGACCACATCTAACAACTTTGCCTTCGTGATCCTCTAATCTCCTCAGCTTGCCATGTTTCTGGGACGGTAAACTCAAGCTGGCCAAATGTGGTAATATCGCATGCGAAGCCCCAGGAAAATATTTTGTATGCTGCGCAGCCCGCTTTCTCTTCCTGCCGTGCAGAAACCGGGGCTTACTATCCAATACCATGGCGTTCCGTGCTTCCATTTCTACCTAGATCAATCCCTATCAACAAGCTTAAAACCAAAACTTCTAACACAAAAACGACTATGAAGGCTAATCTTCTACCAAACCTAAAGAAACTGTCTCCTAAAAGTTGTTATGCAAATCCTGAAAATAAAATAAAAATAAATGTGAGGACATTACATGACATGGATATCAGCTCACAACAAATTTCAGACTGTGCATAAGCAATTCACCAAACAGTGGCTGAAAGAATATCAAACAGAACTCGTTTGAATCACCATACAGCAAAAGGAACATACCTAAAACTGCAGTTAGTGTTGAAGCTGTACATATCCATGTTGTACATGTTCATCGTGTACATGTTCCTTTTCATTTTTTTACTTTACCAGCTATTCATAAAAGGGAAAGCAACTTCCTCATCTACTCTACAGCGTTTAGAAGCCCTGCCTCCTATTGCATCAAACAAGAGCACCTAAGAATATTGTGGCAGAGAATTTGATAAATTATGGTATAACAATTATTTAATCTCATTTTCATTTCCTTCTCTTTAAGCAATCAAATTTATAGACCAAACACAAGGCGATCTAAAATAAACTATAAACTTTTTTCTCAGGTCAGAGTTGGTAACAATATCACTGATTTCATAAACCTTGTATCAGAAACAGCGTTGTCTTAAAAATGAGCCTTAAAAACGCAAAATTGAAATATCTCAAAAACTTAAATCCTAGGCTGATTCAGGTAATGACTCATGAACAAGCAGAGGATTTAGGAAAGCAAGAAAAAAATATCCATTAAAAACAGGTTTTAGGAAATATTTAATTAAAATACGAAAATGTTTTTTCTTGGCTCAAAAAGCAGAGTCAAATCAAAAACAAAAAATAAACATTTTTAGGAAATCTTAATTTCTCGCAAATACTGCAAGATCAACAAAATTAAAATTAAAATCATAGAGCATTTTTTTCTCAAAACAACAAGCTAGAATATCTTTATTGATCCCCCCCCCCAAAAAAAAGCCAATATTCACAGAAATCAACCATAAAAAAAATTAGTCGTTCAACAAAATCAATTCAGCAACCAGCAGATCTCAAGATCTAACCTGATCTATAACGAATCAACACTCAAGAATCAAATCCGGGAAAAATAAAAGAAAAAATAACCCTGAATAATAGAAAATGGAAGATATTACCTGCGACGACATATATTTCGTAGTGATTTCTTCACAAAAGAGGGTTTTCCTTTTCTTTTATGTTTTTTCTCTCTTTTTTTGTTCTTTTGAGAAGGCGGGGGAGAGGGGGGGACGGTGGGGGAGGGGGGCGGGGGAGAGAGAGAAATAAAAAAACCTAACTCGAATGCTATACGACGCCGTTGTACACAACGAAGTGTTTCTCTTATAAGGTCTAGCGTTGACGGAGTTCTCAGTCGGCGGTCCTTTCTTTTCCGTGAACCCTTTTTCTCCTTTTGCATCTCTATCCCTCCAGGGATGGACATCGATCCGACGAGTTCCGATTCGATCTAATTCGATTGTGTCAAGTTTTTTTTAATAAAATTTGGATTCATATCGGATCGGGTAGGATTTTATTAAAGGTGATGTTTTAGTCGGGTTGGATTTGAGTTTAGGATAAAAAATATTCGACCAGAATCGATCCAAAAAATATATAATTTTATCTTATATATTTAAGAATAATTATAATAATATATTTATATAATTTTTTTCAATTAAATAACTATTTTTATTGAATAAAAATAATATTTTTTATTATTTTGAGTCAGATCGGATCAAACTTGAATTTTGTCTCAAAAGATTGGATCTAGTTCAAATCAGATAGAAAATATATATTTTTTCGGATCGAATTAGCTTAACCGAAATCAGATAGAGTTTTAGGAAATTTTACGTGTTTAATTATACTTTTGAGATAAATAAACTACATGTTCTCAAACTATGACTCATATTTTAAATTGATTATTAAATTTCTAAACATCTCAAATTCATTCTCAAACTATAACACATATTTTAAATTGATCCCTAAAACTCTATTATTTCAAATTTATCCTCAAATTATAATCATCATTTTATATATTAGTTCATAAACTTTGTACATTGGACGTTTGGCGGCAGCAAAATCTACTGTAGTGAATGACTTTGATGTCGAGTTAGCTCTAGCAAATGATTTAGGCGATTGACTCATTAATTTATGGTCTAGGTAAATAAAAATCAAATATAATTAAAAGTATTCGACTTTTTCATCATTTAATTATATTTTCTTTGGTGAAATGATATGATTAGAGAAGATATTTGATAAGTTGGGTGGGAACCTACGGACAATAATGTTCAACTTGTCGGCCAAGTATTCGGCCGAAAAAGAAAGGCATTTATTTGGTCAAAAATCAAAATTCTTTATTGCATGCAAATTGATATGCTTTTTAATGGGTAAAATATATAAATGGTCACTGAATTTTTTAGATATTTACATTTAGGTCCTCTAACTGTTAAAACTTACAATATAGTCACCAAACATTTAGTTCATTTGCAATATGGTCCCTGACGTAACGGCCGTTTCACTACCGTTAAGGTAAATTGTATAAATGGTCATTGAACTTTTTAGGCGCTTGCATTTAAGTCCCCCAACTTTTAAAACTTACAACACAGTCATCAGTTACATTCTAAACCCCAAAATCCAAAATATTTCAATTACATTCTAAACCTCAAATTCCAAAATACTTTAATTATATGCCCAACCCCAAATTCATAATTCATTATCAAAATCTATCATAACAAATTGAACTTAAAGCAGTAACCCTAAACCCTCAAAACATAATCATTTCAAAAAAAATTAACCAACTATAAGTGAACAATAAATGATTATGTTGGGTTTAGGCTTATGTTGGACCTAAATACTCAATTAAGTTTATAAAATAGTTGACTCAAATTTTTTTTGATTTGAGTTTATAAAATTTAAATCAAGTCGAATTGAATTGAATTTTCGAGTTTCTGTTTAAATTTAATTATAAATATTTATCATATTATAATATTATTTGATTCTAATTCAGTTCAGTTTATAAAAGAGTTGACTCAAAAAAATTTCGATTTGAGTTTATAAAATTTAAATCAAGTCGAATTGAATTGCATTTTTGAGTTTCCGTTTAAATTTAATTATAAATATTTATAATACTATAATATTATTTGATTCTAATTTAAATAGTTTTTTAACCATATACAATATATATTCTTCTTCATATTTTTTCCATATGTGATATACATATATCATACATAGTCAAGGGACTTGACTCAAACTTAAAATTTAATCCACTAATTACTAAAAATTTTGAGATATTCGAGTTGTATTTTACAACTCGATTTTAACTTGAAATTTTTAAAGTTGAGTTTATGAAATTACAACTCAAAGTCAATTTGTATCAAAATTTTTGAATCAATTCAAGTCGAAAAATATTTTTTTGAATGAATTGAGTATTGTTCACTTATAGTTTGTTAAATCTAACTTTTAAATCCTAAACCCAACATAATCACTTATTGTTATAGACCCAAAATTTAGTATTTAGGGTTATGTTTTGAGGGTTTAGGGTTTTGCTTCAAGTTTAGTTTGTTATGGCAGATTTTGAGAATAGATTATGAATTGGGGGTTGGGCATGTAATTGAAGTATTTTGGAATTTGAGGTTTAGAATGTAATTGAAGTATTTTGGAATTTGGGGTTTAAAATGTAATTGATGATTGTGTTGCAAGTTTTAAAAGCTGGGGACCTAAGTGCAAGCGCTTGAAAAGTTCAGTGACCATTTATAAATTACCCTAACGGCAGTGAAACGGCCGTTGCGTCGGGGATGCAAACGATCTAAATTTTTGGTGACTATATTACAAGTTTTAAAAGTTGAGGGATCTAAATGCAAATATCTAAAAAGTTCAGTGACCATTTATAGATTTTACCCTTTTTTAATATTCTCATGACACCATAACAATAGATAAATATTACCTCACTCTAACATTAGGACCTTCATTCGGTGTTTTTATTTTATGGACAAAACTCATCTACTTTCTCGCCCTTGCTTATTACTCGGTAATTGATGAGTTGTTAATAGAGCCAAACTTTTGGGGACGTTATCCAAGATGGAAAGTGATCTCTTTCTGGTTTTCAATTTTAACAGAAAAATTTCTCTGGGCCTAGATATTTGATACTTCATTAAAAAAAGCCACATACAAATTGCCCAAACGCTCAATAAATCAAAGTTCGGCTTTTTTGGCCCAATAGGGCGTTTAGAATAAAAAAAATTAGGGTTTTACCCATTCCAACTTTTAATTTGTGATCTACGGTATTTACTATAGTGTTGGGGGAACTGGTCACTTTGAAGTGACGAGATATTCTTTTTAATAGACATGGATGATTAGGTCTCACGTGGACCATTAATTTATTATTTTTAAGCGGACTCGTCACGTCGAAGTGACGAGTTTATTAATTTTTATTATCATTGAAAATAAAATAAAATAAAATTTGTTTAAAAAAAGAACTTATCACCTCGATGTCACGAGTTCCTTAAAATGTGATTTATTAATGTATATGTTTGGGATTTTTTTACTCTAAGTTTAAGTGTCAATTTGAGAAAAGTTGTAAAGTTCAGGTACTAATTTACATAATAAGACTATTTTAAATAAATTTATATGAATGAATGTGGAGATTGAATCTTGAGATCAAATCACGGTTGACTGAGTATATTGTTGAGCAAAGCGAGATGATTCATTGCTGTTATAAGAGAGAAGATTCAGCAGAGTGTTACTAGGTCGGGATTTGTGAATTTAGGGCAAAAATGGCGAGAGAAAAATCTAGCAAGGACAATGCACAAGCTCTCTTCCATTCTCTTCGTTCTGCGTATGCTGCCACTCCTCTCAATCTCAAGGTTTCTCTCGCCGTATCCTTCTTTCCCTTTTAACTCTTTATTTTTTTCTAATGATTTGTTTCTTGGCTTTCTAAATACAGATCATCCATCTTCGGAACTTCCTTGATCTTTAGTCACCCAATTTCATCGATTTGTTCTTACGGCTACGGGGATTATAGTTCTTTCGTTTCACATTATATTTCACCCGTCGTAGCAATCTTCCTTTAAATGCACTTTAAAAGTAGATCATTAGAATAGGAAATTAGAAATCGCAAAGGTGTATTGAATGAATTTGATAAATATCATGCCGAACATTTTGAAATTCGACGAAAACCAGCTTACAGTAGAGCGATTACTGTTTACTTATTGGATTAAGGTCGTGCATCTTTTGAACTTTTTGTTTGTTTGTGTAGTATCAGGATAATATTTAATTTAGTTGATTATATGTTCTTAAATCCTGACTTCCATTGAGGATCCACAGGTGGTTTACATGGCTAGTGTGGGATCATTTCCTTTCAATTCCTTTCTTTCTGGGGTGCTTTCTTGTGTTGGGACAGCTGTCCTTGCTGGTAAGTGGATTTTGTATCATGAATGTTTTGCAAGGTAAAAGGCCTATCTGACACCATTTTTGGCTTGGATTGGATGCAGTTTGTCTTCGTATTCAAGTGAACAAGGAAAACAAGGAATTCAAGGTAAGCTTTTTCAAATTCTCCGCGTTACATTCCAGTAGTTTGTGAGGCCGGGGAAGAAAAGCAAAATCAGATGATCTGATTATCCTTATAACTTCAAATTGAGGTGTTCAATTCCTTTGAAGTTGTTTTCCCCCTTTATCGCCCAAGGGTTTAGTTGGGGGAACTGGGCGTTGTATATAGGTGTGAACATCCGACTGCATGCTAAATCCTCAACTTTATAATGCTCATATTAGTTGCTGGATCTAGCACCCAAGCGAGCTTTTGCAGATTTTGTTCTTTGCAATTTGGTGCTCCATTTGGTGATCATGAATTTCCTTGGATAAAATCGTATCACCGGGTTCATCGGACTGCTGTTTTCTCTGCTTCTGGCAATGATTCATATTTATAACATGAATTGAAATTCTTAGGTCATCCAGACTGTAGCTTGTGGGTGCAGCACACGCCTAATCCGGCGGATTGTAGTAGGATTGTTTATTTTTATCATTGGCTAAAGAATTTCAAGATCAGTTGATGGGAAACGATAGACATTTGGGTATCGATTTGCTCATTCTGATCACTTTCCGTTAGACTTTAATGTAAGGGCATTTTGGATTTGGGATCTCTATTTCATGCGTGGTTTGGGAAATTCTAGATCGAAAAGGAAAATCATAAAATTCACATTGAACTTAAATTTGCTTAGAGTACACCTCTACCTAGACCAGATAACTGACTCATGATCTTCTAGGATACACTTGGATGAAACTATCAAAATGTTGCAAGTGATGAAGCAGGAACCTGGGTTCGAAAGCACCAAATGCCTAAATTTTGCTTACAGCCAAGTAGTTGCCACTATAATTCTTAATTGGTGTTCATTTAATTGAAGTGATGCAGCCTTTTATATATATATATATGAGGCAAGATTCATTCGTATCATGTAAAACATTTTAGTTTTACATTATTTTAGTATCGTTGGATAATTAAAAATAAACGGTTGAAACCAATAATAGGAAATAAAAAAATCTTCACGAAAAGAAAAATAAAAAATAATCGCAATCATATATTTTTACTGAATCAAAGGTACTAAAAAAATTGTAAAACTATATTGAAAAGAAAGGGATTTATTGGTAGGTCACCCGTAATGGTTATATTACCCTATAAAGGAACCCCTTGGCAGTAATGTACGGACTTTAGGTTAATTTAAACATTATAATTTTTATCTAAAAATGTTTATGGAAATTATACAATGATGATCGATAAATGCGATGTTAGATGAATTTATCACATAGTAGGATATCAGTCTATCGAATTGTCAATCTAATGTCTTAATATGATGTAATTTGCTTCGGAAGGGTAAACTACATTAATGACCACCCAACTATTGGGTTGATCTTGAAATGACCACTATTTTCAAATTTGCATCAATATGGTCATTGAACTATTTAAATGATTTTAATATAATAACCTATCGTTAACATTTAACATAATTATTTACGTGGTAGTTAATAAAATTGGTATAATTAGGACACAAATCCTTTTAAAATTATGTATTCACAACGCTAGAACCTTGCCTTGTTTTCTTTCATTTTGGTCACTACTTGTATATGATTTGTTTTCTTGGATTTTCATTTAATGCAATTTCATCCTTGTCACACACTTAATTTTTAGTCTAATTTAATTTATTACTAATTTATTTATTTATTAAAATTTTAAGGGACCAAATTAAATAATTTTGGAGACTTGAGGCCATCTTTCGAATTTCTCGAAAGTTCAAGGATTCAACCTTGATTTTGACCACCCCATCTATGCAAAAAAAAAAGTTGAATTTTTCCAAAATGTACTATATTATGTTTTTCGACGTCCTGAGTCCAAATCTGAAGTTCGTTCTACTAAATTCAAACCCGAAAAGTTGCTTTTCAGTGTTTTACCTCCTGATTCGATTCGTTTTTCCGATTACATTATGTTTATGATGTAATTTCCTTTGTTATGTATCTGAGATGTTTTGGGGTATTGGATAAAGTTCAAATGATCGATTAGTGTAGCTCAAAAATCGAGGTAATACTTTACTACATTATGCATAGTTTATGGTACATGTTGGTAATTGATGGATGCATGATTTAAAATGTTTGATCTAGTAAATCTTGTTGAATATTCTTAGATTCGTACTGAATATGGTAAAAAGATATTAAATTTGTTAAGACTTGATCGAATTATTTAAAAACTGAAAGATTGATAACGAATAATTTCAAGGTTAGTGATTAAGTGATAAAGAAATTAACCTCTAGATCCGTAAACTTTGATTATTTCTCGTTAAATAGTTTTGATGCCGGAAATACGAGGATAAGAAGTTACAAATTACCCTTGTGAGATAAAAAAGACATGAATTGACCCTAAAAGTGGAAATAACGCTAAAAATGTCATTCTTGATCCGATAAACTACTAATTCACTTGTAAAATACTCGAGGTATTTAGTAAACTCCTGATAACCATTTTTAACTTTTGGTAGGACAAAGGACTTACAATTTTCGATTTTGGAATAAACACTAGATGATTAAATTATTAAAAAAAAGGCATACAACTTAATCGAAAGAAATGATCTAAATACTCTCATGATCTGGAAATAGGTGGATGTCATTTGATAAATTCAGGAAATACCAATAAATCTTAGTACTTCCCCTTAAGGTTTGGAGCACGACCTAAATGTGTTGGTCATTATGGATACAGTTGCAATACAAAAATAAATAATATCATCGAAATATATGAATGTCCAAATGAGATATGTTTCAATGGTGATTAGATGGTGATCAGTTCAACTAGTGCATTCAATGTTAAGAAGTGAATATTCTGAAAGATATCGGCTAAATGATTAATGAGTATCATAGTCATGAGATCTGTTTAATTCGATTCAAATCAAAACCCTGATAATTCGATATAAATCCTCGATACTATAAATTATCATTTTACCCTCATTGGTTTAAGTTACTAAGAATTATTCTGGAATTGTGTTGAGTTAATCGATCGATGAAATCGGCCAAGGGAGGGGTGAATTGGCAATAAAAATTTTGGTGGAAGCTTTTGCAGAAAATTGAAAGTAATTGCACAGAGATTTACAGTGGTTCGACTTTATCAACCAAAGTCTACGTCCACTACCTTAGCTATCCACGCTAAGGATTTTCCAATAAATTCACTAATTTTTTCTTTCTTTTGAGGCCAAAGAGATAACCTTACAACTCCCTCAAGAATTATACCCCAATTCTTGAGAACACTTTTTCTCAAAGAGAAGATTACAAATTTCGCAAACTTACAAGAAAAACCTCACAAGGTAAGATGTTTGCACAATTCTAGAACAAAGAAAGAACACTCAAGAATAAATATAATTGAGCACAATAAGTGTTATTGAAAGCAAAATGAATATTGAATGAAAAATAGGCTTGAAATGCTCAAACTTGAGGTTTGATGCTTTCTCTTTGATTATCTCTCGATTCTAGTTGCTTTGATGTTTCTTGTTGTTGATCAATGGATTTTAAGATTGTTTAAATACACCTTGAATCACTTCTGAACGTTAGGGGATCATTAATGGAGTTTTTGGAGCCGTTTAAGTGTGAAAACAATTAATATTTTTGCTTGGAGCGTGGGGGGAATCAGTTCCCTAAGTGTAAAATTCAAATATTCGACCGTTGAACAGTAGGGGGAATCGATACCCCCTGGGGGGGAATCGGTTCCCTTTGGACAAACTGTAATTTTTGGCTTTGAAACGGTTCGAAAAACTTTGTAAAATTGTTTTGAAATTATTTTAAGATTAAAACTTAATTTTACACTTTAGTAAGGATTTAAAATGAACTTTAAAATACTTTGAGTAATATTTTGATATTCAATTTAATATATCAAATATGCTTAGAAAAATCATTTTCAAAATTAAAATTCTTTTAATTTAATTTGTTATATCGAAACATCAAAATGTTTTCAACAATCTCCCCCTTTTTGATATAACAAAACATTTTAAGATTTTCTAATTTCAAAATGAATTTTGATTTTGAAAAATACTACTCCCCCTTACTTTAACACTTTCTCCCCCTTTTTGTTAAATCAAAAAGATCCTATAAAAACATTTTAAACAAGAATTTTGAAAAATGTAAGTCAATTGATTTATTAATATAAAGCTTAAGCTGCTAAGATCACAATCAAAAGAGAGGTTAGCCATTAGTTTCATAATCAATATTCATAAACATGTAATGGATAATTGGTCATATATGTCTAAAGATGCAAAATAAACACGAAATCCAAATCAAATGTATTAAACATAAGTTCGAACAACCAAAAAATAAACAATTCAAAAGCATTCAAAATGTTTTAACAATAATGCAAATATCCAAGTTCAATCCAAACAAGCAAAGAAAAGATCAAAGTTCAAGCATTCGTAGGAGGATCGGGAGGAGGGAAATGAGTTCGCATAGCTTCCATTTCATGAGTGAGTGCATTAATACGAGCGTTGGTTGTTTCATTGTTTGCACGCATCTCCCGGAGAATTTCAAATTGTTGAGCTTCCATAGTCGAGAAGTGAGTTTCTATAGAAGTGAAGCGAGAATCCAAGGATGCATAACAGAAATCAAATGTCTCCATAAATGATTGAAAATATGGAGGCACTTGATCTTCTTACTGAGCTTGTTCCTCGTGCTGCTCCGGCTCATCGTCGGCTTCGTCAATATCTTGCATTAATTGTTCAAGATCGGGATCGTCATAAGCTTTTGGTGGAGCTTGTGAAGAACTAGCTCCCGGAGTATTCTCAGAAGATCGAACCCATTCACCAGTTTCTTTATTCTTTATCTATCCCGCTCTCGTTAAGGAAAGAAGATTAATTTGTTTTTTGAGAGAAAAGACGACATCTAGACCAACTCTAAGCCCGACTTTAGAAAATAGATTACTCATAATACAACCGTAAACTAGAGATGAACAGAGTTTCTTATTAGGTACAAGATTTACGGTTTCAACAATTTTCAGCAAAAATAATCTGAGGTAGGTTTATTTTAATATTATTTTGGAAACAATGTAACCGCCAAAGATCTAAGGCTCTAAGAGTTGAGTAATGACCTCTGGATGGTCGAAACCACCAAGAAATCATTAGATGAAGAAAACGATCATGAAGATCTAAGACACTCGCACTATCCCTTCTTTTATAACGAGAACCTAAAAACTGTTTTTCATTTGATATACCATCATTATCTAATCCTAATTTATTGGCTATGTAAGCCGAGTCAAGATGAAATAATTGTCCTAGGAGATAGGAACGAACTCTTATGGTTTTGGTTTGAGCTCGGTTTTTAATACAAACGGCATTAGAATAGAAGATGCGAATAAGTTGATGGTAAACTATAGGTTCAAGGTCACAAAGTTTATAAAATTTCCACTCTTGTAAAAGAAGAAGATATCTAAAATTGATATCTATCATAGCTTGAAGAGATGGGATACGTTCTTCTCTAATTTTGTAAGAGTCAAAATACTGATAATACCAAAAACGATGATTTCTAGGACCAGGATGATTGAAGCACGAGTTTTGGATAGTCATATTAGGATCAACGGG